ACTTTTTTCTCTTTGGCTTTTAATCAATCAGCTCCATTTCTCCTTTCAAGGAGACGGCAGCCAGTTTGGTCCCAGTATGAACTCATGGCAGCAGCAGCATTGCAGGAAGTGAGATGGCACCAAAGGAGGTAACTCTTTATTCCAGCGGCAAAGCACGGTTGTAGCAGTGTTGTCAGTTTAGCAGCATAGACTCAAGGCTTCGGGGTGGAGGGGTCCAGATCCAGGCCCGTGGCTGGGCTAGAAGCAGGAGCTGTTCCAAAGAGCACCTAAACTCCAGAGTTAGACTATAAGATGAACGTTACTATTTTATTTTTCTGGGTCTAGATTCTGTGTTTTGGTTTATTTTTTGTGATTTAAGATGGCAGACACTAAACAATACTTTCCACCATATTTGTACTAAATACACAATACACATGACAATAAATCGATCAAATTTTAAAAAATTAACCTATTTCAGTGCTAAGCACTCGTGGGAAATACTGCCTAGATAGCCAGAGAGCTCCAATGGTTTATACAGGAGAAATATTTAAACACATGGCAACATATAAACATAACAAAAGTGCAGAAACTCTAACCCAGAAACAGCCCATTTGACCTAACCATCTGTTATGAAGTTGAAAGGAACTCATTGAGGTCTTCAGAATCATGTTTTGTCATAATTTAAAGTAGTCATCAGCAAAGAACAAGGAAAACCAATACAACTTAAGGAAGAGATGCTAAACTTGGATCAAACCAACTGTTGGGACGAATATTGTTCAAGCAAATATCTCATTTCCTAAACAATAGCCCCACCTCAAAGCCAACTTCAGAACAAGAATACCCATCAATGAAGGATGTCTGCTAATCACTGCTAAATATTTAAAAGTGATATCTCATTTAATTCCATTGCCTATTCTGAATCTAGAGCAATAACCAATAATTAAGAAACACATTCATGTTAAAAAACAGAAAAGATGTTTACAAAAAAAATCACATCACCCCTTTTGCAACAAATGATTCCGCTTTACAGTCACATTCAGACCTAAAACCAATCGTAGCCTATCAAAACTGGAATATATATTCAAACTAAAGAATCAAATTTTAATCCCCAAAATCAGGTGGAAACAAATTCTAGTTGTCAGAGCCACTGTGTGCCTGTCCCAGGACACTTTCCAATGGTCAGCAAGGTGGGCAAGGGTTTCTGAGAAATTCTGATTTCACTGTCATATTATTTAATAAAATCCAACCCAAGACCATGATATATGGTGGGATACCAGGACAGGAGACAACACTAGTAGCTGGGCTTCACAAAATTGAGCGGAGTAGGGGCGTTTGATACTTTAGACAGCAAAGTTCTATGTTCAGTCTTGTGTATTCAGGACTGAGATGAATGGACTGCTACTTATAAACAACATGGGATATCAGTAGAGTGCGAGAAAATTGTGTCAGAGTAGATCAGCCATGAACTCACTGCAGAATGGGTTCAAAGGACTAAACTCCTACTCCTTTTTTTTAAAATGTAATGTTCAGGAAATTTCCATGACTTTCTAGACAGAGAATATTTCAGATACTGCTTGTGTTCCACTGCACCTTTTTGACAGAGGCCTGGCAGATAATTCCCGGAGACTGGGCGATAGGGCAGGCAACTCAACAAATCGAAGCAAGATATTATCCTCCCATCCCAAAGACAAACCCTCAGCAACAGCCCGCCAAGCAATTCCCGCAAACTGAGGGACCCTCTCTCTCTCTCGCTACAACCCGAGTTCTCCTCCTTCCCGCAGTCCCAGGAACCCTCCTCAAACCCCAGCATCCTCACCTTCGCTCGGCTCCGCTCAGCCGGGCTTTCCTCCGGGATGCTGTAGCCGGGTTCCCTCTGCTCCTTGTTGGCCAGGGGCCGGCAGCCGGTAATGGAGCCTGAGCGCTCTGTCCTGATGAAGAAGCCAGACAGGGCTCCGCTCTGCTGGGAGGCCGCGGTGGTCTGATGCGGGGAGTTGGAACCGTCCGAGTCCCGGCAGTACACCACCCCGCTCTGGGACACATGGATACTCGGGGCGCAGCCCATGGCGAGCGGCCGGCTCCAGCCTCCCTGCCGGCCCCGGCCACTCCTCAGGCCGAGGAGGAGCCGAGCATGGTCTCCCGGCCCGGGGACTGTCCCCACCGGAGGCGGGCCCCAGGGTAAAGGGATGGGGGAAGGGGCTGGTGTCACAGCCTCATGGCCCCGGGCGGGCGGGCGGGCGAGCGAGCGGGCGAGCGGCTGCTCTCGGCTCTGGCTGAAGTACCGGACCAACCTTCTCCTACTTTCCCCACCCACCCCCCCCTCTCCTCCCCTCCCCGGGGCAGGCGACCCCCAAACCAGACCCTCCGACTCGGTCGCCGCCCGCGTGTAGGTCCACAGCTCTCACCTCGGTCCGCCTGCCCTCTGACCCCCACCCCGCTGACGTCAGCACCGGGCGCGCGTTGATTGGAGGCTGAAGCCCAGGCGGGAACATGGAGAAGGAGCAGTTTCCCCAAGATCCCCACCCCCCATAAACACCCCCCCCCCAAACCCCCCCCCCCCCCCACAACCCCCCCCCCCTCCATAAACCCCACCCCAGAACCCCCCATAAACCCCCCCTCTCATAAACCCCACCCCCTCTCATAAACCCCACCCCCAGAACCCCCATAAACCCCATCCCCAGAACCCCCCATAAACCCCACCTCTCATAAACCCCATCCCAACATCCCCTCCATAAACCCCACCCCC